CCCTCTAAGGGATGGGGTGTTAAGACAAGACTGTGTTATGACAAGAAGGTGTGTCAAGCCTGGACAGTGTCCCGGCTAAGCACAATGAATGATGAACAGATCAGTGTGGGTGGGAACGTATCTCCCCCACCAACATCTGCCAAACCCAGTGGAGGCCTCTGCAAAGGAACAGGTTATGATCTCCAATCCATACCAACAGGCCAGCACCAACCAGAGTGAGCTCCAGGGATCTGAAGGGTATGTGTAGATGTAGCCCAGGCCTCAGTCTCAGAAGACGCTGACCTACTTTGAAAGTAAGGACTCTCATCTCCCCTTGAGCTGTTTATCCTGTGACATGATTCCATCTTGCCCATCTCTTGGGACTGTCTGGCTTATTTACTCCTTCCCACTGAATGCTCACACATGGCCCAGGCCTGCCACTGCGATCCAAGACAACAGAATCTTTCCTTTAAACAACTCCGACAACATCCCCTTTTGGTCTGAGTTTGCATGTCCAATGTTTAAATCCATGTTGGCAGTCTAGGCCTCCCACTAAGGCTTTTAATTTTAGTGCATTTTAAAGTTATGAAATACTTCAAACACACCAAGGAAAACAGAGACAAAAATCCATGTCCTGCTCAGACTTGATGAAACAACATGTCCCAAGCAAGGGACATGGGCAGAATTCCAATCCAAGGAGCAAGTTGGTGCCACAAGAGAAAAGGTGTTTTGGGCCAGTGGAAAGAGCTCTGAACCCTGACTCTGAAGACCTGAGCTCCAGGCCAACCTCTGCTGCCTAATGGCTCTAAAAGCTCAAGCAAGTCGTGCTCTCTGTGCCTCAGTTTCCACCATCCCCCTGTGGGTTTCTCTTTTCCGACCTATCTACATAGAGAGCCCCAGGGTTCTGCATGAATAATCTCATGACACTTAATATTACTTAAATGTTGATGACTCCAATTTCATCTCTTGCTTGGACCTCTCCTCTGAACTGCAGGTATAAACTGTCAGCTGCCACCATGGCATTTTTCGCATTGAATGTCTAACAGAATGCCTAAAACACATCTCAAACTGTCCAAAACCAAACTCCTCATATTGCCCCCAAATCTTTTCCTTACACAGCCTTCCTTATCTCAGAAGGCGATAACTCTGTTCTTCTAGTCGCTCAGGCCAAAAAAATCTTGGGGCCTCTCTGACTCCTCATTGTCTCAGGCCCCACATCTGAGTCATCAGTAGATCCTCTCAGTTCTACCTTTAAAATAGATCCAGACTCGATCCCAGTAGCTACCACCCTGTTACAGGTCACCACCCTGGAATAGACTACTGTCACCTCTTTCCAAGATTACTGTGGGAGCCTCCTAGCTAATCTTTCCTCTTTCATTCTTGTTCCTCTGTGGTCTATCCTCAACATGGTGATGGTAATTGGATTGCATCACTCCATGGCTCAGGCCCTCCTGTGGCTCCTTGTCTCATTGCGATTAAAAACCAGTGCCCTGACAATAACTTATGACATACGTGCTGACCCCTGTTACTACTTAGTAATGACTACTAAGCCTGAACTGCACTGCAGCCACATTGGCCTCCTCACAGTTGAACATTCCATCTGCTCCTACCTCAGGGCCTTTGCACATGTCATTCCCCTTTCTCAGCTCCTTCATCTTTTTTAGATGTCACTTTCTTAGTGAGACATTCCTTAGTTACCCTGTCTAAAACTGTAACTCCATCCTGTGCCCTTCCTCCCCCTCTGCCTATTTTATTCCTCTCCATAGTACTTAACACTATCTAATATACCACACATCTTACTTATATCATCTATTGTCTAGTTCCTCTACTGTCCATAAAGTTAGCAATTTAGTCACTTTGCTCTCCACTATACCCCAGTGCCTAGAACAATGCCTGGCACATAATATGTATTCAACAAGTATTTGTTAAATAAATGAATTTTGAAAATAGGAAATATCTTATTATGTCCTCAAATTATTACTATGACCATTTTAAGACAGGAGTGAAGAATTATCAGGCTTATTTTAGAAGTGAGGGGATAAAATACAGACTGAAATTCCATCACTACCACCCAAGTCTTTGTATAAGGCTACACCTCTCAAGGTAACTGCCTTTCAAAATGTGAATACCCTTTAGAGAGGTCTAGTCAGAGCAAGATGAATAAAAGTTTGCTTCCAGGGTGGCCGGTTAGTTCAGGTGGTTAGAGCACAGGCTCACAACACCAAGGTTGCCGGTTTGATTCCCACATGGGCCAAAGAGCTGTGCCCTCCACAACTAGATTGAAGACAACTGCTTGACTTGGAGCTGATGGGTCCTGGAAAAACACCCTCCACAACTAGACTGAAACAACTACTTGGCTTACAGCTGGTGGGTCCTGGAAAAACACACTGTTCCCCAATAAAATTTCTTAAAAAAAAAAAAGTTTGCTTCCAGAAAAGAAAGGAAAGAAAAATGTTCAGATAAGAGGGCCAAATTCCAAACCAACCTAAGCCGACTGAGGCAACAACTAGATGACCTGCTAGCAGGTTCAGAGTCAAGGCACTGCCCCAAATGTTCGAGGACAAACAGGGGCTAAGCATCAGTGTGTGACAAGGTCAGAGATAGCAGGGTTCCTTCAGGTCACCTTATCTCTGCTTTACAAATGAGGAAGCTGAGACCCAGGGGAGGGGAAAGACTGTCACCCAAAGTCAGCAGCCTAGATATCTACATAGTGGCTAAACCAGGTTGCCTGGCTCCCAAGCCAATGAGCTTTCTCTACCCACCCTCATAAGGAGGCCCTGTCACCAAATTGCCATACAGCAGGAGGATTTCATTTTCTTGGTGCATGTGGCAGTATCCACGCAATGCCAAAAATGACTCGAAAGGAAATTCCTTAGCTGGGAGTCCTACAGAGAACCAGAATGGGACTTGGAAAAGAACTAAATTCCTTCTGGAATGTTTCAACCAGTGGAATGGAGCCCAGAAATCACTGGTGTTTTCTGTTTGGGAAGATTTTAAAAATAGCTATCTTTGAAGAACGAAGAAGGGCTCCAATGCTGCTAAAAAAAAAATGAAGTCATTGCTTTAAGATGCATATAAGGAAAAGGAAAGAAATATATTAGAATAGACCAGGTCTCAGCCTTGGGCTGGGAAGTTACTCTTGCCTTCTTCTTTTTTTTGTTTGTTTGTTTTTCTTTTTTCCTAAAGCATTTCCCAACAGAGCTGAAATCACAAACAGAAAGAGCCCTTCAGGACTCAGAGGGGTGGCTGTCAATTGAAATGGAAAGGGGAAGAAAGAAGAGAAAGAACATGTGCTATCAGGCAATGTCACAGACAGTGTATTATTTACTCCTTACTGTAGCCCTCCAAAGCAGACAGTATATTCCCATTTGATGAGAAGGAAAATGAGGCTCAGGAGTTTGAGGAGTGTAAGTAACTTTCCTAAGGCCATGCAGCTCGTAAGTAGCAGAGCCAGAACTCAAATGTTTCTTAACGCCAAATTGCATGATCTTCTCTTACTCCATGCAGTACCGTGGTGGACAAGTTCCTTACTTTCTTTAGGCTTACGGATAGTTCCTTATCCATGACATAAGGGTCCTGGATTGAGGCATTCCTAATCTGTTTTACAGCTCTGGAGGGGGGGTCTATGGACTTCCTCTGCTGGGAATTGTCCTTAGTGATCTCCTTGGTTCTCAGTGCTCCTCACCCCCGTGAAGAGCTCTCCCACTGGGCTGGTCCCCAGCCCCAATGAGTTTGAGGGAAGTGATCAGGCAGCACTTCTTGCTGACCCCACACTGAGGATTTCAGCCTCTGTAACCACAGTTCAGTGTCTGAGGTCTCCTTCTGGCTTGAACATCAAGACTCATACACAGACGCTCCAGTGAGAGAGGCCTGGGATCTTGGAATGCTCCTGAGGAGTTTATTTATAACACTTAGGGTACATCTAACAAGTTCATCATGTGGCATGTAGCAATATGTGCAAAGAAAGAAACATCCCATAGAAGTCTTTGCCAAGACAGGGCTAAGCTGGTGAGCGAGCCTAGAACCCCCCATCTATAGCAAGATAAGGGAAAATGAGGGAGACAGAGGAGGCCTCCGTAGATTGTAGACATCTTCCTACAGAGCAGGAAGAAGCTTAATGCTTTAGAAAAGAGTTCTGGACTAAAACTAGGTGAGAGTTGGACTCCTTGCTCTGCGACTACTGGCAGTGGGACCTGGGGTAAGTCACATTCTAGCAGGGAGGATCGCCACTGACAAGTCATTATAACAAAGTTTGGTAAGCACCTGGCAAGGGTGACAGAGCTCAATCAATAGAAACTCTCAGGGCAGGATAAAGCGAACATCTTAGCGGGCAGACCTGTAGAAGCAGGAAGGTTTGAGGGAGGGTGAAGTCCTCAGGGCAGGGAGTGGGAGTGAGTAGGAAGGCTGAGCCCTAGTCCTGGGGAATCCAAGGCAGGTCATCAAGGAAGATCTCAGGGCTCATTATTACAAGACTGGGTGCCAAAGGAAGCCTCTTCCTCAGTTAGAAGGTGTTACACCAGGCAGCACGGGTGGGTCACCTGCGAGTCTTATTCTAATTCAGACACTCAGGACCCATACCCAGAAATTCTGAATCTATTGATCTGAGGTGGAGGCTGGGCCCTGATATTTCTTTAAAAGCTCCACAAGATTTGACAAGCACAGCCAGGGCTGAAAAGTTCTGCAGGAAACAGAGATCTCTGAGACACAGGGCCTGCCCCTTAGTGCCCACTGGCTCCCATAACCCAAATCACGGCTTGCCAGATAGAAGGTGCTCAGGATATGAACAAAGGGATGAATAAGTACTGTGTGAATGAAGCAAAGGACGTCACCAGCCAGTCACTAGAATCAGAGCAAGGACAGGAATAAGACTGACCTTATGCTGAGTCCCCTGGATGACTAACTGGGGGTTCCCTGCATACCTCCTGACTAGGCACATGATTGGCCCAAGTGTGGAAGCTGGAACTAGATAAAGCCTTATGTGGGGGCCCCAGAAAGGGGAGGGACAGGATGGGGTTATCCAACAGCCCATTACAGATCAGGGACAGTGTGGTGAATCTCAAGCACACATTAATGACTACTCAGCCTGATTGAAGATATTCCCATCTTTATTAACATATCCCATCTATATAAGTGGCCCTCCTCCCTGCACCACTACAGACAGTGGTGACTTTCCACTAAAAAGTGGAGCAAGGGAGGAAGGAGGAGAAGGAGTCAAGTATTAACAGAGGTGAGGTGAATGAGGACCCTCAAAAGAACAGGGTGGCCTCCCACCTCCTGTTTTCTGCTTCCCTTCTCACCCCACTCCGTACCCCCACTATCAGAAAGTCTTCCCTTCTCCCAGTCCAAACTGTACTGCATCCCATTTTAAAGAGACGTAAGATTCCCCGACATATCCATGCACTTGAGTATGGACAAAACACTTCACATCTTTAATGCTCTCTCTCTTGCGAACCATCCTTGTGGTTCTAGGTAGACAGCTGATCTTTGGTGAGAGGGCCCATGCATGGCCAATGTGGGAAAGTCTCTCAAGCAGGGTGTCACCATGGAAGCTAGGACACTGCTCCTGTGTTCGGACCATCAGAGCTGCTGAAAATCAGTCAGACTTGGTCCCTGAACTCTGAAGACACTTCACTATAATGGAAAGTAATTACATTTGTTTCCTAGGAATTTTATGCCTTGCTTCTAACACTCTACCTTCTAAACCTCCTCTAAATTCTCCGCCAGTTCAAATACAGTGGGCGGGATGCCTAGCTCTGTGGGACTCTACCCCAAGCAGCATCTCTGAGCCAGGAAGACCCCAGCAGCAAGGCGCAGCCTAGTGCCCCCACGTCTCTCTCTTCAAGAGGAACTTCTGCTTTGTGTACAGGAGGCAGAGCTGTGGGTGAGACTCATCCATTAGGCAGAGGCTAATTTAAGGCTGCGGCTCCACATGTCGGAGATAATGAGGGGTAGGGATGGGTGGGGGCAGTAACAAGAAAGAAAGGGCACACGCATCGCTGTGGAAAGGCCTTTTGAGATCACCTCGTCCTGTAATTGTCAAAATTAAAAAACCTCTTAAACGGAACTCCATCTAAGATGGAGCGGTTCTGACTAAAACAACAGGAGGAGGTAGGAGCTGGGGATGGGCAGTTGACCAGGATGTAAAAGCTCACTCAGTGAGCCTGACTTCCAAATCCAAAAGACCCTGAGGCACCTATGCAGACACTTGGGGCCCTGGGTTTCACTTTGAAAAAAAACCAAGGATGTAGCCCAAACCCATGGTTTTCTAGATGGGAAAGCTGGGTAATTTGTCCAGGGAACCAGTGCTAGAACTTAACCCCACTCCCAGCCCAGGTCTCTCCTCACCCTCTCCCACCAGCTGGCAGGCCCCCATAGGCCATGGGCCCCTAGAGTCCCCTGGGGCCCACCAAGGGAGTTTTAGACAGAGCTGCGGAAGGAGAACTGCAGGTAGATGATCAGCAGCAGGACCGTGGCCCAAAACAAGCACCAGGGGACAGAACAGAAGTTGCATCCAGAACCCGCTTCAGCTTGCGGCTTGGCGGGACTGGGTGCCCGCTTGAAGGTGTAGGTCGTCGCCTCCTCCTCCAGCAGCTTCTCGCTGGGCTTCCAGTGCACGATGCCCTCCTGGCAGGCCTCGCAGAACTCGCCACGGTGCCGCCGGTTGTCTTGGCGGCTGGCCACGTGGATGCGGTACTGGCCGCCGTGTTCGCCATAGCACTGCTCGCGCAGGCTGGTGATGAGGTTGTCCACCAGGCTCTCAATGTTCTCCTCCAGCATGCTTGACTCGTCCAGCCTCGCGGTGCCGCACTCATAGCACAGCTGCTTGAAGACGCGCATGCGCACCGAGCCCGCACGCTGGGCACGGTCCAGGTACATGTGGAAGAGGATGACCACGTGGGGCGACTGCCAGGTGTGCCAGCACCAGGAGCAGTGGAACCTGTAGGTTGAGAGAGAGGTAGGGGGGACAGGGCAAAGTGAAGGCTGTGGAAACAACCCCAGGAAGCAGGTAGGAAGTAGGCAGAGCCTGGAGATGGAGGCAGTGTGTTTATGGTCCCCTGGGTTCATTAGCTTTCTACCGCCTGCCTCCTTCTGTGTGTGCCTTTAGGCCCACACAGGATATACCTAGCATCCAGCAGCACTGCCCTCACCTGGCGCACCAACTCTGCTCTGCAGAGGCCTCAGCTCACTCCATCCCAATGCCTTCAGGCCTTGCCTCAGCTGTAAAATATGCAGGTGCACTAGATGAGTCCTTCTTGCTCACACCTCCTTTGAGCCTGATAGCGGGGATGGCCGCACCATATAGGAAACACATGATCCATCCACACGTTTCCCTGTCAGCACTGAGTGAACAGGCTACACCCAAATCAGGAGAAAATACCGTGTTTCCCTGAAAATAAGAGCTAACCAGAAAATAAGCCCTAGCATGATTTTTTTCAGGATGCTTGTAATATAAGCCCTACCCCAAACATAAGCCTCAGTTAAGATTGTCAGCCAGGCATGACTGTTTGAATAAATGTAGGTTTTTGTACATGAATAAATGAATAAATGTAGATTGTTGGAGCAAAAATTAATATAAGACCCGGTCTTGTTTTTAGGAAACACGGTATTATTACCACCTTTCAGCCTCCAGCCAGTGCCAGAATTAATGCACCCCAAGACCTAGAAGTGGAGGCAGCCTTGTGGCCAGAGTGAGTTCACTGGGGTCAGCCGGGGGTCACAGGTCACCAGCCCACCTGGAGGAGCCACAAGCCCTCCCCACTGGGCCCCACAGCCTTCCAAGTCCTAAAGAAGCTCCTGTGCTCTGCCAGGAAGTATCCAGCTGTTTACACCCCTCCCATCAGCCAATTTAGCGGCTTCACTTTTTCATTTCTCCTCTTTTCTCACATCCTTTAGGGACTTTCCTTTCTCTCAGCCTAGACTACAAAACTTGGATTAGAAAATGTCAAGATCTTAAAAATCACCTAATTAACACTTTGTTTTACTCTGAAGCACAGGGAAGAAGAAAGCAATCTCTATACAGTATATGCAGCTGGTTAGAGGCAGAGCTTGTACCCAGCACATCACAAATGCCCAATAAATATTTTCGAGTTGAGTTGAATGGGCTAAACCAGGGCAGGAAGGAAGGCCTTGCTTGTGACACACAGGTGGCACCACTCAGCCTATCTTGTGTTCCCAAAGGCAAGTCTTTATGTAGTAGACCAGAGGACAAGAGTGCTGGAAAGTCATCTCAGATATTATTGTACAAGCCATATATTGTATATACCTGGGGACCTTATTGAAATGCAGATTCTGATTCAGTAGGTCTAGAATGGGACACAAGATTCTGCATCTTCAACAAGTTCTAGCTGGTTTTGCTGCTGCTGGTCCATGAACCACAAGGCAAGGATCTAGGCTAACCTCTCCTTTTGCAAATGGGAAAGTGAGGTACACAAAGGAAATTGAATTGCTCAAGGTCCACGGAGCTAAGAATAGAGCCAGTTTCTAGCATAGCACATTTCATGTGCTCAGTATCTTATATTCAGTCAAGCTGAATTAAATAGGTTGAAACTGAGCTGTCCCAAACGAGAGCACAGACCCCTTGTCCGCCCCAGTGGACCTCAAGCCCTCCTTCTTGTCACCATTTAAAGAGATTGTTAAAATCTGAAAATATGTAACATGTCAGAGTTTAGAACTAGTAAATATATTTCACTTCTTTTCTACAAGGGAAACTTGGACTCAGAAAGGGAAAGGTACCTAGGTGCTCAGTGGAAGAGCTGGAATCAAATTCAGGTGTCCCAACTCCCAGTTGAGGGCTCTTTCTCTACCTCACAGTCTACACTGGTCCAACAGTGAGACTGACCCTTCGTACCTGGGTTCTCCATGTCTCTGTCTCTTCTTGGCAGGTGCCCCAGGGGCTGCCTGCAGGGCCCCTACTTACTGGGCTACTTACCTGCCCGAGGCATGCAATTCCAGGTACTGCTTCCAGCCAGGGGCCAGCACGTTGTGCTTGAGGTTGGGGTCTATGATGAGGTCCCAGCTATCAGCCGGCTTTGCCTCCTCCATCTTCTCATAGAAGACTTTCTTCCATTCACCTGTGGTCACACTTTTACACATGGTCTCGTCAGTGGTGAGGGAGGGCAAGCTCCACCTGAGCGAGAACACGGAGAGCGAGGGCAGGTGCAGGGCCGGGCAGCGCAGTCTCCACGGTCTAAAAATCCTCATCTACAGGACCAGGAGGAAGCAGGGCCCAGCTCCCTCCTTTGTCCGCAGTGGAACCTGTTTCCACGGCAACCAGGCAGGGTGCCAGAGTCAGAGCTTGTGGAGGAGAAAGTCTCCTGTAGGGGTGTTTCAGGGCCCTGAGGCTGCAGAGACAGGGTTTGTAGGCCTAAGTGACCCAAGACAGAGCGGGGGGCCTGAAAGGAAGCTGAGCTTCAGACCATCTCACTCTGGCCCTGTTAAGGGCATGAAGAGGTGAGGACCTGGGAGCTGGCTCAGCTTCTCCTTGCTGCCCCTGGAGACATCATCAGCATCTGGCTGCTATGGTAACTATGATGCCTTAGGGAGCCAAAGAGAAATGAGGGATGGGGAGAATAGACCTGTTAATAGACACTGCAATAATAAACTCTCTCTCTGCACCCCCGCCTGTCTTGTGACCAGCACTTTGCCATTTACAAAAACTATCAGAGGTCTTTTGACCCATAATTTTATTGCCACTGTACAGATCAGAAGCCTGGGACTCAATCTAACTTATAAATGGCAGAGCTCATATCCAAATCCAAGCTATTGAGCCCCTACCAATTCATTTCAAACATACCCATCTGCCAGGCTGTCTGCCAGGTGGCTGTAACTCAGTATGTACTCAATAACCAGAATGCAATAGGATCCATGCTGTGACAGCCATATACAAGAGCGGCCATTGCATCAGCCTGCCAGGAGCAGAAAAGATGATTTTCAACTTGATTATAGGAGAGGAGCACAATATCCATGGGAAAAACAACCTTTACTATATAGAGTCTTCTGCTATTTTTTAATAAATTATTTCTCCTTTATAAATGTCATTTTGTTTAATGCAGAAAAATTGTAAAATATAGATAAAATAAGGAAAAAGTAAGACTTTCTAATACCCATACTCAAGATAATCACTGTTAATATTATGATATACACACCTTGCCTGCCATTTTCTATACATGTATGTGTATGTCTATATGTATGTATAAACAAAGGGGCATACACACGAAGGTCGGGCAATTAAGTTTGCAATCTTAATTGTCTGACTACATATAATGTATATATGTGGGGTGCCAAAAAAAATGTATACAAATGGACCCTTTGGTCAACGTTGCTCAAGCAGTAGTTCACCATAATTAGGAGTGTCTGGATGCCAATGGTAACCACTTTGAGTAACTCTTGTAATTGCAGAAGTCAAACGTGATTTGTATTCATCTTTTGTTATTGGTATATATTGAGTATTACAACTTTAATAGCTTTTTCCTTTCTTAAAATGTATATACACTTTTTGGCACCCTCTGTATATATATATATATATATATATATATATGCATTCTACATACCACACTGTGATCTATCTTTTTAATAACAATACACGAGTATCATGAGTATTTTTCTAGGTCCTTAATATTCTTCTATCTTGTAGTCTTTCTATATTGTTATATGTTTGGGCATAATTTATTTCTCCAGTCTTCTATTTGGGGCATTAAGTTTTTTTCCAGTCTCTCACAATTACACTTTTGCTACCTATTTGTATAAAACTTATTGATGAAGCTCATGTATCTGCATTCCAGGCATCAAAGACGATGCTTCCTGCAGTTGGAAACACATCTCTTTGCTCTCTGCAGAAGCTTGGTGTAGTTAAAAGAATCTGAGCAGCCTCTTTAAACAGTATGACTATGACCAGACTGTAGATCCTGAAGTTAACGAGAGAAAAAGAAGGTCCTAATCTCCCATGTAATACAGGAGACCATCTTCTAAGTGCTCCCTCTGCCTCTACATGAATGTTTGATGCCTTGAATAAGGAAACAGGATCTGTAGTCCTTAAAAGCAAGGGCTCTAGAATCACTTGCCTGGGTTTTTTGTTTTGTTTTGTTTTGTTTTGTTTGATATAATTCCCTTGTATCCTCATAGGTAGCTATTCTAATATACTTAATGTGTATCATTTCATTCTGGCAAAATATGTCTTGATGTTTTATGTGAATATATTTTAAATTTTATAGTAACAGCAATTACTACATAGCACTCACTAGGTATCAGGCATTGTCCTAAGTGCTTAGTGTATATTAATTATTCCATCCCTATAGGTACGTAATAGCAGCTGCAGCTCCATTTTGCACATATGTAAGCTAAAACAGAGAGGTTCGATAACTTGCCCAAGATTCAGAAGCTAATAATTAATGGAACTGGGATTTGGACCTATATTACTGTCTGCAAAACCCCTGCTTAATCAGTACACTTCCCAGCATGGGATCTAGAACAAAACATTTGCTGAATAAATGTGTCTTTCTACGTTTTCATCACTGGATATGACCATTCCAGACTCTAAGAATTGAAATTCATATCCTTTCAGCAGATGGTTCACTAGGCCACACTGAGGCCACAATCCGTAGGAAGAGGAGTGAGGCGCAGTTGACCCGCCAGGCTCTGTGCTCCTACCTCGACTGCTGGACTTACTAGAACAACAGTGTCCACAGACCCCTGATGCTCACTGTAAATATTTTAGAGTTGAAAGAAAAATTCAGCTTTAAGTCTTACCAAAGAAAAGATAGAGTATAAAGCAAGCTCTAGATACGCCATCTCTGTGAAGCCATAATCATTTGATGACGGGTACTGGCACCCTGGTCCAGTGGAAAGAGCACTGAACTGGAAGTCAGGAGATAGAAATAGATATCTCAGTTCTGCTACTTGTTGGCTCTATGACCTTGGACAAATCACTTCTCTTGGCCTCAGTTTGCCCATCTGTTCAATGAAGAATTAGAGGAGATGGCAATGCTTAGGCCCCCTCTGACTGTGGTCATACATGGATTCAAAGAGCTTTATATTTAGAAACCTGAATCCTTAGAGGGCAGGAGGGAGGATGGAGGCCACCAAATGGAAGAGGCTGGCTTCTAATAAGGCTTTTCAGGCAGTGCCTGGAATCAGGACCTGTCTCCTTGAGGGCTGCTACATAGCTAAAGAGCTCTGGGGAGGCGTCACTCCACTAGCTTTGCACTTGACACAGTAAGAAGAACAGAAATTAAATCAGAGCCAGTGAATGCTAACACTGGGATGGATTTTTAAGCTCTTTACATTTTTTATCCTTCAAGTCAGCATTGTTGCCTCTGAATTAAGGCAGTCAATGCCCAGAGAAGTAAACTGACTTAACCAACCTCTGAGGTGTGATGGGAGATGTTTCAGGTGGCAGCCATGGGCCAAAGTGAGAATGGAGGCTGAGAACAGCTTATAGAACTTGTCCTGGAATTAGAGTGTATTACCCAACACCAGGAAAAAATTATCTGGAAGTATTTTTGCATTTGTTACTACAATAAACATTGTGATGAAAAACAAGAACACAGAAGGTAAGAATCACCAAAGTTGTGTGTGTGTGTGTGTGTGTGTGTGTGTGTGTGTGCTCACGCATGCATGCAGGTGCATATGTGTGTGTGTAACCAGCTGATGCAATTCCCGTTGGCACAAATTAAGTTTAATTTAGATCCTGAGCTTGCTATGCAGGCCTATGTAATGCATCCTTCTGCATAACAGAATGTTTTATCTAATAAAGTAATATTTCTATCATGACAAATAACCCTGTGGTACTGCAACTTGTTCTCTATCAAATGAGCTCTGATGCCCTGAAATACACAATTTTGAGATTGCCAGTCCAGATATCTTTAAAGCCAGTGACTCTTTGGCCGATTTCTTAAAGTTTGTGATCATAATTTAAATCCATAAAATGCTTTAAAACTAACTCCCTAATAGAAAATAGAGTGGTGGGGGAAAAAAGAGAAGAAAGAAAGAAAACCAGTCTCTTAATTTGTCATTTGGCTCAATAAGAAATATTTTATAACGCTCATTATTCTATTATTGCTTATCAAAATGTTACAAAAATAAACATTGCCACTCTTGAAATGATGCACTAATGAAAAGTGGTGCTCAAAGAGGGGCAATACCATTTCCTTAAGAGGCATTTGGGAAGGAGGAGGGTTATTTTGGGGGGCTGGATCAATGACTAGAAGTTTCTGTTGACACTCTGTGCCCAGGGACCAAGGATCTAAATGAGCTTGACAGTTCCACAATAAGGAATTTTCCTTCCCAGAGTGTTCCACCCTTGCTGAGCCCAAACAGTAAGTTCTTCCATAATCTGTTGGTTTATTGGTACAAAGAACCCAGGTAGTAACCTCAACTTCCACTTTCATGGAGTCATTGTTTTGTTCTCTGGAGGAAACATTCCTCCCTTGGACACCAAGACCTCTAAACCAGCTGAGTCCAAAGTTGTGGAGGCAGGAAGCAAGGAATACAAAAATAATAATATAAAAAATAAAAATCAATAGTGTATATTAGGGGTAATTTTGAGAGAGTTTTCCCAACTCTTAATTCTTGGAGCTGGGAAAACAGCAGCAAATCGTGGTTGCTAATTTTGAGCATATACCACATCCTACAGAATATTACCCTAGCCCTGCAAAGTGCCATCACCTAGATGGTTCTAGAACTGAGTCTTCCAAAGGCCATACTACTGTTCAAACAGGCCAGCTGCTTCAGAGTGATGGGGACATGGTAAGATGAGTGAATGACATGGGCATGAGCTCCTTGCCAGATTTCATTTGCTTTGAAATGAGTTCCCTGTTAGAAGCAAATGCTGTGTGTATTATCACAATGGTAAACAGGGTGTTCTCTAAATCCACTGTTGAGCATCCAAATGCCAGTATCTGAAATCAACACTGAATCCTTGCTAGGGGCACTATCCCATGGAGAACCAACAACCACCTGGTGGCATTTTCATTACATACGGCCATTTCCATCAGGGAAGGGGCAGAGCTTTGTTCTCGCTGGAGTGGACAGTTACTATGGATATAGGTTTGCCTTCCTTCGCCACTATGCTCCTGCCATTTGTGAGCTTCCAGAATGCCTTATTCACTGTTATGGTATTCCTCTACTTGGCCTTTCAACTTAGCTGCTTAGGTTTCCTCATTGCATGGTGGTTGGTTTCCAAGAAGAATTCCAAGAGAAAGGAAATAGAAGTTGCCAGCCCTCTTAAGTCAAGGATCAGGAATCCCAGAATATCATTC